AAACCCTCCTCCTTTTTTCGGGCTTGGGACCGGCTGTGGTGCAATAGTGTAACTGAAACACAGGCGGAGTTAAAAACTTGGTTTTTTCATTGTTGAGCTAAAGATCATTAGGTTTCCTACGAGCAAGCTTTCTGAATAGTTTCGTCGTAGACGACATTATATGTTGAATGATCATCATTACTGTCTGCTGTAGATGGTTGAATCAGTATCTTAACACAGTTTGCACTTTTGGCTCTTGATAAAGCAACGTAAAGTTGACCATGAGAAAAAACAGGTTCACGTAAGTAAATTCCAACAAAATCTAATGTTTGACCTTGAGCTTTGTTTATGGTCATAGCAAAGCACAATCGTAGGGGAAATTGTGTTCGCTTAAATTGAACAGGTATTTTTTCATCTTGTGATATTAACAATGGTATTCTCGGAATAAAAACATGTGTATTTTTGAAATCACCACTTTCAATTTTTGCACTTATGACATGTGTTCTAAAGTGACAGCATGTCAACCGTGTGCCGTTGCATAAACCTTCACAAGGATTCATATTTCGTAATAATATAACTGGACAATTTTTCTTTAAAGTTAACTTATAAGGAGATAAACCGGGAGGATCTAAACTATGTAGAAAATCTTCAAACTGACTTTGATCATTCGGTTCAATAGTTTCATCTACTGCAACAAATGTTTTAGACATTTTTGGGAATTTAGTGATTAACAAATTATTTAGTTCGTTTACAAAGTCATTCTTCGTTGTTAAAATAACAGGAGAAGTTATCATAGATGAATCAGGAGAAAATGCATGCAAATCAGGATACGTTACACTAAACAATGCATTTAAGGATTCTTCTTCGGTCGTAAAAGGAATAACAAAGGAATCAGGAATCTCTATTTTGTCTTCACAGTTAGTTCTTTCTGTTCCATTTCCAATTCGGAGTAAATATTCACAAAAAGAAGGATCTGTTCTTGCGCGCATATTTTCAGATAGGTACAATTTTTCAAGTTTATTCCAAATTTTAGAATACAATAAGCTTTCGTGAATAAAATCTTCTTTTTTTCCATTTCGAACAACTGGTAGAGTTTGTCTAAAGTCACCTCCAAATAAAACAACTTTACCACCGAACATTGTATCGGCGTCCATAATATCTCTCAGAAGTACATCAAGAGCTTCAATCATATTCTTTTTTGCCATTGATGCCTCATCCCATACAATTAATTTTGCATCTCTAATTAAACGTGCGACTGAACTTTGTTTACTAATGTTGCAGCAAAAATTATCATCTATATCAACAGGCATTTTGAACCGTGAGTGAGCAGTCCGTCCTCCTGGAAGGATAGAAGCTGCCACACCAGAAGTTGCAGTTGCTAAAGCTATAAATCCTTGAGATCGGATAGTTTCCAATAGTGCACGGTACAAAAAAGTTTTACCTGTTCCTCCAGGACCGTCGATGAAGAAAGCTCCTTGTTTTCCAGAGAATACTCTATCAATTATTGTATTATATGCGCGTAATTGTTGAACATTCAGTCTCTTCGGTAAGAGCAAGTCTTGTTCACTAACAAATATATTTCTTTCAAAATGAACATCCTTTGCATCCTTTGCAATTTCAGAAGGTCTAATCTTCTCTAGAATAAGTTTATACTCATTTATGTCATGTCCCATAGAGTACAAAATATCATTGATATGGCTTAAAACCTTGTGCCGAACAACTTTTTCTTCAAAATCAGAGAAATGTTTAAAGTCTTTGGACATTGAATCTTCAAACATTTCCCATAATGTTTTTGGATTAGCAGAATTGCAATATACTAACAATGTTGCAAATAAACGTCTCAAGCTATATGGCATTTGATAGCTTACCGCCTCCGACATACATTCAATTAAACTGTTGTTACAATATAATAATCCTCTTTTTTCTGCTGATTCTCTAAATGTACTACAGGGTACCTCGTTAATGGTGCGAAGATCTTCATATGATTTAGGTCCTCTCACGTTCATCAATAATAACCTGAGATAATACCTCTCTCCTTCTGTTGGGTGACATGTTACAACACGTCCGATTACGTTATGTTTTTGGCGACGTGTCCACGTTCTATATCCTGGAGACCATACAAAATATTCCGGAAATTCCTTATACAATAATTGCATAGCTATAGCATGTTCATCAATTGCATTTATAGCAAAAAATTCGGTCAACATTGTTTTTCTAATCATCGGATTATTTAGAATTCTATTAAAAGTTTCACTACTTTTAAAAGAAACAAATTGTTGCCCTTCTAAATGTAATTGAAGATGATAAACACTCGGAGTTATTTCACTAATAGAAAAACCAAATAAACACCATGCCGCTTCAGGGGGTGTTACCCATCTAGCAGATCGATATTCTTTTATTTCATCTATTTCTTCATTGTTATGTATAGAAAAAGCAATTTTATCATGTCTTTTGCAAATGTATTTATAAATATATTTTACAACTTTAATATCAGAACAAACTTCAATATTCATATGACAAACAAACTTACAAAGTAAGTAAGGGTTGTATGGGATAACCCATGAATTGTCCAGATATTGTTCCCTTATATGTGCAAGTTCGCCTGTGTTTCGTCTTCTATAAATTGGATATGAATTCTTTCCTTTTGATGTTTGGTCAGCAAAATCTTTTGGATAATCAAATTTACAAATTCCCCTTTTTCCCATTCATGAATTTGTAGTATTTAAATCACCACACGGTTCGTGCATCATATGCTGAAGCACGCGTGAATAAAGGTGTTCTTTGGTATTGCGATCAGGCAACTCAGCACAAACAAACTTATCATAAGATTCAGGTGTTAATAATTTATATTCATCACTACGTATGATAAGAAAATGAGCATGCGGAAGACCACGTTTTTTAAATTCTATAGTATACATAAAAGCAACAACTTTTTCAAAGATTTTTCTTTTCAAGATATCTGCTTTTAGTTCTTCTACTTTTGCTCTAAATACTCGCGATACTAAATCAGGTCTATTTTGAGTTTCATCCGTTGATAACAAGTGCTGTTTTATTTCTGGCCAAGACGGATTACATGTCATAGTTAAAAAAATATCAGGTTTTCCAAAACGTTGCACTAATGCAATAGCATCCATATACCGTCGACGCATATCTCTTGGCCCTCCTATAAAAGTAACAGGGAGGAATGTTTTCTTCCCAATCTTGGAAGCTTCTATTTCCCCAAATCTTAAAAAATCGATAAGTCCTTGTAGCACATCTATTCGAAACAAATCTTGATTAAAAAAATAAAAATCTAATCTTTGTGTTTCTAGCTTTATGAACACATCTACTATGAATTGTTGAAATAATCTTGCACAATGTAGGACTTCATTTTTTTCATCCTCTCTTATCTGGAATTTGTAACAATAATACTCACGGCAAGAAACCGTCTCTCTTTTCCGTTTTCCTTTTTCCATAGTTTGAGCTTCCATATCAAGAAATCCATCAATGGAACACATGTTCTTTACACTCGGTAATTCTTCATGTTTACAATAACGCTGATCTTTTTGCGCGATTTTGTAATACCACAATGCCATCCGTTTTGACCGTATGAAAATAACAACGGGTATTGTAATGGGTCATAACATCCATAATAATACTTTACTGACTGAATCTTGTCACTATGTGTGTATATACGAATATGAGGCGTAGAAACAGTATCGGCAGCATTATCATGTACCCATATTCCAGCCACCTCTGTTGTAGTTGGTAGATTATATACACGTTGATCTGACTTTAGTTCACATTTAAGCGCGATATAGCATTCAGATAGTTTCGGAACGTTTGTCAAAGGTTTTAAAAAAATGGAATATGGATTAATTGAGAGCACATGCATAAGTTTCTTTACAATTGATTCGTTGATATTTCTTGAACAAGCCATTCTGTTAGCCAGTTCATTTTCGTTATCGTAAAAATATAACTGCATATTCTATCCTTTTTTATCAGAAGGAAGTAAATCGGGTATAAAATGATACATTTGTCCCTGAACTCGAAACGTATATATACCATGATATTTCCTCGCCAAATCTTTATCGTTGGTTACACCAAGTGACGTAAAGGCAAACATATTATTGTATGTTCTAATGTAAGTTCAAAAATGCTTAGCTTCTTCAGTGTTGGCTTTATACAAATCTGATAATTCATTAGGCAGCTCATATGAAACTAACTTAACTGACCCGCTGCCACAACAAAATCCAGGAGGTTCATATTGAAACCTTTTTGCATTGCAAAATTTACAGTTTGGAACAGGTTTTAGTCGTGCATAATCCGCATCTTTGTCATTATTTTTCTTATAGATTACTTTGGTCGAGGTACAACCTGTATATTATAAGTGTTGTTAAAAATAAAGAGATGGAAAATATTCTACTAATGAATAGCGATACTCTAGCGTAAAAGAAATACTAACCTTTGCTTGTGGCAGTAGCGAAGACATTATGTTGTCCCTTAGATGTACGCGATGTTGATCATAGGGCACAAATTGTCACAATTTAGATGTACACCTAATCCGTGGCGTACTAACAAAGATGTTCATAGACGTTCTAGCTTTACCTCTTTCAAATACAGAAAACGCATGAGCGGCATTTTTTCCTTTATCAAAAGAACTTGAGGAAGTATTAACATCATAGTTGCTTCCAACTGCGACAAATATGAAGTAGAATTTACATTTAATATATTCAAGTAAACATGTGATATCCTGCTCTGCTTATAAAATAATTACTTAGTAAAATATGAATATTTATCTGTCTGCTGCTGCATTAACATAACGTAAATAAAAAGTAATAATTCAGTCTAACCTTCGTCGTCAACAGAAGAAGCCTCTCTTATGATAAGAGCAGTATGTTTTCGAATCATAGGGTGACGTTGATACATTACTCTTTCATGTGGATCAACTGCCGATTTTATGGAACTATTCCATTTTTGCCGCTCAAGTTCTTTGGT